TGAGCACCTGTCCACCCTAGACGAGTTCAAATCACCAGGACCAGATGGATTACACCCCATCTCAAGGAACTGGCAGATGTGATCTGAGAACCACTGAACTATATTTTTCAAAGATCCTGGAGCACTGGGGGAACTACCAGAGGACTGGAAAAGAGCTGATGTAATTCCCATCTTCAAAAAAGGGGAAAAATGGATCCAGGAAACTACAGACCTATTAGCCTGACCTCAATACCTGGGAAGATTCTGGAAAAGATAATCAAGCAACGACTCAGTGAACACCTAGACGCAAACAAAGCCAGCATGGGTTTGTCAAAAAGAGATCATGCCAGACAAATCTTATTGCACAATCAATGGAGAAGTCAGCAGGAAATCGCAAATGGCGATCATGGGACTGTGGCGCTGCAACTGCATGGGATTCGTCTAACAACTGCAGCTGGAAATGGCTTTGTAAGTTGGCATGGTCATGCGAATGTGCTTTTATGACCACATCACTTAGTGACAGTGTTCCTGGTCCCAATTACTGAAGACAAGTAATCGTTTTAAACTCTAATGATGGATTAAATAGTTTGTGATGCGAGAATTTAAAACCAGAAAATGTTCTTAGGCTCCCAAGGTAATTCTAGGGTAGTCTTCCCAAGAGAGGTCCCCTTGGGATATTTTTGCAAGTACATGCCAATGTCCTTGACTATTCTGGCTCAATCTTTTAGTTGCAGTCGACAGCATCTAAATTACGTCAGCTAAAGGCCTGTGTGCTTCCTTGTCTTCGATGTGGCAAAATTATTTTGAGATTGTTTTTCGCCTTGGCTAGTTCACCCTAACTCCCTGACTTCTGATTAATTTGTGATTATATTCCATGATCATAGGGAATATAATATAGTTTTTTCAATGTTGAAAATTTCCAATAATGCTCAATCAATTTATTACAGCCAAAGGCCACACATAAAACAAACATCCAAATAAAACAAAACTAAACAGAACCATCACAAGAGGACATAGCAGTACATCACAATCAATGATGCAACCATTGGAAAGCATTCTTGCTTGCACAGTGCCATGCGTTTCCATCAGCCGTCCTGTACGGCAAGTATAAAAAGACACCACTGTCTGAAAGACTCTGCTCCTGGGCTCAGGAGAGGTGGAGACCATTGGACACATATTTCTTTGATGTTCCTTCTACAGAGCTATTCAGAAAAACCATATCCTCCCCATAATTGATAGGTATCCTGGTCGTTCGGAAAGTATTTATCTCCAATGGCTGCTTAAGGATGAGCAGGCAGTGATCACGGCGCAGGTGGCTAGATTCTGTGCAGCAGTATTGGGGATTCGCCAGAAACATAATCATTTTAGATCTTTTTAATGATCTTTTATAATTAATTTTATTATGTGTTTTATCCAGTTTTAGACTATACTCAATGTATTTTTATTGTCAGATCAGTATGGTTCAGTTTTTCTGAAGCTAGCTTGTTTCTGATATACTGTCTGTAAAACTAGGCAGTCCCTGGTCAAATAATGCTCAAAATGAGATGTTCTGCACAGCTTCAGGCTCAACAGTATTCAAAACAAAAAGTTCCATACACCTGTAGCTTGGACCATATATTAGAGAAAGTTGAATAGCTTTGCCTCTTGAAGCAAATGCAATTTGTAAGTTTTCCAAGAATGTCTCTCATCTGCTGGAGTGAAAGTTTATGTGTTTTTCTTTTCTTTTATTTTGTTTTACTGTTTGTATCAAGGGCTTAACTTTTTCACAGAGCAGTTTTAAATTAAGTGTTCTCTTTCATAGATAATTGTTGCTGCAAAACTTTTCAAAAATGCAGATGAATTGGTGAAACAGAAAATTCATCCGACTTCTGTCATTAGTGGATATCGTCTTGCTTGCAAGTAAGACCTCCTGAAGTACTTCAAATGAGAAATTGTATACAATTTGCCTTTTAACTTTTACAATTAAGTTTCAAAGTATCACCCAATGCATTTTTTCTTTAATCAATATAGCATTTTTCAAATATTGATGGCCCACATAGCATTTTTCAAATATTGATGGCCTCTCCTATCAGTCATGAAGTAACTGACAGAGCCCTTTGACTGAGAGTATTGTGGTGGAGTGCTGTTATCTTCCCCCAATAACAAGCAGCTGGAAAGCTAGTTTTGGACCTAGATGCAAGCAGGTGTTTATGAGCAAGTAAAAAATGAAGCCAACAGTGTTTGTTAGTACAGATTTTCCCCTTCACCAATGGAAAGAAAGGGTTGTTGTTACCGTCATGATGTTTGAGGGTTATACTACAATTTGAGATTTGTTAGAATTCTTTGTGGTACCTATACCCCAGTTGTGATTCAGTAAAGCATAAGGGCTTGGGGGCAAGTTAGCCAACAATGGTCTGACTTACACTGACAGGCATTATTTTTGTACCGTCCCCATTTTATCCTTTGGTTTTTGATCAAACAAATATTTGTCTTTATATAAATCTATAACTCTATCCCACAGTATTTTGATCCCGGTTTTTAATTTACTTAATTTTAGCTCAATTCATATTTAATGTTTTAATATTTTATACCTGTTTTTATGGTGTTTATAAACTGCCCAGTCATTTTTCAGTGAGATGGGTGGCATATCAATTCAATAAAATTGATCTTGATGTTCTGCTAATGTATCTGCCATGATGGCAGCATATCTCAATCTTGTCAGTATAACAGGGCTTTTGCTAGACTATAGAATTGATCTATAATATTGTCCATGAAACCTTTAATGTTTATATGTTTACTGATTAAGTGCAATATCGATATAATATGCTGTGTTTAAAAATTATGTAGATGTGTATTTTTAAATGTTTAATAATATGTTTTAAAATATTAGAAAGCATGGAGATAAATGCAGGGCCATTGAAAATGTAAATTTAAGATATTTTATTTTTCTAATCTGTACACAACTTAATGTTCAGGGAACGGAACATTCTGGTTCTCTTTTCTTCTGGAAAATTCCAGAGGTAAACAGTTGGTCTACTCACCAGAATTGCCAGAACAGTAGAGTCTGGAAGAAAATACAACGTCTGATGTTCCCTGAAGTAGCAAGTTTTGCACACTCCTATTTATATGTACTTTAATTAACATTTCTAAGTTGAAAACATTCAGTTTAAATTCTGATGATTCTATGAAAATACTGGGTTTCTTTTCCCCAACAGGGAGGCAGTTCGTTACATCAATGAAAATTTGGTTATCGACTCAGATGAGCTGGGCAAAGATTGTCTTATTATACAGCAAAAACATCAGTGTCATCCAAAATCATAGGAGTGTATCCTTTCACGGAGAAAAATTAGGAACTGGTATTGTGTAGAAATCAAATACTGACTGTAGTATCTAATTTCTGAAGAAAAATGGCATTTTTATTAGCATTTGTAATTCTCAGTGTTGTGAGCCATATAGGATTTACATTTCATGTATTAATTTATGTTAACCTTAACAGTGTTCTTATAGTGACAGCGACTTCTTTGCCAACATGGTAGTAGATGCTGTACTTGTAGTAAAATACACAGATCAAAAGGGACAACCACATTATCCTACCAACTCTATCAACGTTTTGAAGGCACACGGTCGCAGTCAGCAAGAGAGTATTCTTGTAAATGGCTATGCATTAAACTGTGTTGCAGGATCCCAAGGTAAGATTAATTTTTTTAAAATGCTAGATTTTATCTATTCTTAGTATATATTATGGCTCCTACTCTGTCAAACATTCTGGCACCTGAGGTGAGAGCTGCCCCCACCTTCCTGGCTTTCCGGAATTGCCTTAAAACATGGTTTTGCCAGATGGGGCCCCAAGACATCTTCTCTTACAGTATAAGAGAGGACTTCACCCCCATGCTGTCCATCCCCTTGGTTTAAGTCTTTTTAATTTTAACTGTTTTTATACTTAATGTTTTTACATTTTGTAAGCCTCCCAGAGTTGCTTTATCAATGAGATAGGTAGCCCATACTTTTAAGCAATAAAAATAAATATATGATAAAATGGTTGGCTTTTGCAGAAAGATCTACTAGGTACTGTATGATTTCTGTTGCATTTGATGTTCGAAAATATAAAGTTGATTTCTCGTTTCAGGTTTAGGGTTTGAGAATACCAAAGACATTTGAAATGTACATTTCTATTTAAAACAGTATTTTTTTTTTAAAAAAAAGGATCGGTCTTGATTTAATCAATGGGAAACCACATGACAATAAACAAGCTGGTGTATATGAGCCTACTATAGTCAAAACAAAGAGTTTAAAGTTTGCAACAGAAACAGCAATTACTATTCTTCAAATTGATGATCTTATTAAGTTGCACCCTGAAAGTAAAGGTTAAAAAGGAGGATGCTATGAAGATGCAGTTCAATCTGGAGCAATTGAAAACTAAATGAATTTTTATTTACCTATTCCTGTGACATGCTCTCAAGTCTGTAGTAACTAGTTTGTTGATGAAAGCAAGCTGTCAGTCTTCTGCATAATTAGAAAATAAATGAAATATGGCCATATTTTGTATTTGCATCAGTATTATAACGCAGAATGTAAAGGGGAGGCGGTTGGAGAAAACCTGAAGGCTTCAGCAATAAGCTACCACTAACAAAGTCAAATTACAGCCACACACTTAGCTTTTGGTGCGTTTCTTATTAAGTATTTTGCTACAGAGAATAATGAAGCAGAATACAAAAACCCTCCCTTGTGTACATACAAACTGATCGTAGCTTTATGCTAGTATTGGAGAAGGGGGGAAAAAGTTGTAATGGCTGTTTTTCTCAAAGGCAGGATGAAGTTATCTGCAGGTGTTAATATTAGGATGGATGCGAATGGTACGTATCGGCTGCCTTCTGCTTTTAAAAGATTCAGTGGATCCCTTGTCTTCATGAGAAATCTGAGGCAAGAAAGAGTCCAAGCAGATTGTTGAAGAAAGTTCTATTTAAACTGACAGCAGGATGTTTAGATTTTGCCTAGTATCAAGAAACAGGTCTTGCTTAATATTTTTTTATTACTTACTAATAAAGATGAGTCACATTAGATTTTGTACAAATTAATACAAAATCAAAGAAAAGTTTCCTTTATCTTTCTACACACATAGCTATGCCCATTCCTCCTCCTACACATAAAGCCGCAACTCCTCGTTTTCCACCTGTTCGTTCTAGTGAGTGCAGAAGTGTAACAAGGATTCGACACCCAGATGCTCCAAGAGGGTGGCCAAGAGCAACAGCCCCACCTTCAATGTTAATCTGCCAAAATAAATAAAACAAATAAATAAATAATATATCAGAAGTATCTGTTAAATCAAATGTAGAAATATTCCTTTCCTATTTTCGAACCTAATATTTAGACCAAGGATCGGAAACCTCTGAGAATAGATTTTATAGTGAAGAGGGCAAGACTCATTTTTACACTGAGATCAGAGAAAATTGTGTCTCTGATTGAGCCATTACTTATACAACACGCTTACCTGATTCTACTTTAAATATACCTTTACATTTTCTTAGTTTTTTTAAGTAAACACCTGCTATTTGGCTATTCAGTTTTTATCCCCAGCCACCAAATTTGTGGAAGGAACATTCTGCTGGGACCTCCAACTTGCTCCCCTACGTAGTACTGAAGCTAGCATAAAATGGTGATCTTAACTTTTGGCAGTTCTAGGTAAATCAGTTATGTCTGAATGATGAGAGATCCAAAATGATCAGGAGGATATATATTCCTGCAGTGCAATAATACTGTTCAATTGCAGAATCTACTAATGCACTTGAAGTAAATGGACCACCAGAGAATCTCCGAGAACATCCAGAGAAAGGGTGCATACTATTTCATGAAGTAAAGAGCTGGAAGGGACCCTGGAAGTCTTCTAGTCCGGCCCCCTGCTCAAGCAGGAGGACCTCTACCATCTCAGACAAGGGACTGTCTAGTCTCTTCTTAAAAACCTCCAGTGATGGAGCGCCCACGATTTCTGGAGGCAAGCTGTTCCACTGGTTAATTGTCCTCACTGTTAGGAAGTTTCTCCTTAATTCCAGGTTGCTTCTCTCTTTGATCAGTTTCCAACCATTGTTTCTTCTCCTGCCCTCTGGTGCTTTGGAGAATAATTTGACCCCCTCTTCTTTGTGGCAGCCCCTCAAATACTGGAACACTGCTATCATGTCACCCCTATTTCTTCTTTTCTTTAGACTAGCCAAACCCAAGTCCTGCACCTGTTATTCACATGTTTTAGTCTCCAGGCCTTTATCTTAGTTGCTCTTCTCTGAACTTTTTCCAAAGTCTCAACATCTTTTTTGTAGTATGGTGACCAAAATTGGTTGCAGTATTCCAGGTGTGGTCTCACTAGGGTTTTATAAAGCGGTACTAATATTTTGCATGATCTTGATTTTTTTGTTATCTTTTCCAGGATCTTCCCAGGTATTGATGTTAGACTGTAGTTTCCTGGGTCTGTTTTTCTTCCTTTCTTGAAGATGGAGACCACATCAGCCCTTTTCCAATCCTCAGGTACTTCCCCAGTGGTCCAGGATTTTTGAAAGATATGGTGCAATGGTTCTGAGATAACATCTGCCACCTCCTTCAGAACTCTGAGATGTAATCTGTTGGTTTCTTTTTGTGTGAAGACTGATGCAAAGAAGGAGTTAAGCAGCTCTGCTTTCTCCCTATTGCCTGTTACTTCCTTGCCATCTTCTCTCTTTAATGGACCTACAGTTTCCTTGACTTTTTTCTTCTTGTTAATATGTTGAAACTTTTTTTATTATCCTTGATTTCTGTTGCAAGTCTTTGTTCATTCTGAGCCTTTGCTTTCCTGACTTCGTCTTTGCATGTTCTGGCTGTCTGCTGATAATCAGCCTTAGTTATGTGTCCCTCTTTCCATTTTTTGTAGTTGTCCTTTTTGTCTTTCAGTTTGTCTGAGAGATCTTTGTGCAGCCATGCTGGTTTCTTAGGTTCCTTGTGAAGTGCTACTAGAAGTATACAGCTCAACGTAATTTTTTTTTCCAAAAGTCAAGGAAATTTTATTTGAATACTAGCATCACTGAGTACCTAATTATATCTGATGTTCAATATGTCTTTACATTTAACGAGCAGATTTTTAAAAAGTGAACATAAGATTCTGAGAGGTTCTGGATCACAGCAGAAAGATAAGCTCTTAATCACTGAAGCACCAATTTGCACTGGAAGGAATCCCCCATCTACATTATTTGTCAAGTTTCCTCAGATTGATACCCTGCAAATTATTTCAGATGATAAACTGCTTTGAATATTACCCTTCCCATCCCACCTAGCAAATATTGCAGGTTTGTATCAAACAAAATATATTTCCATGCACTATTCATCTGGAGCAGCATATACATTCCAGGCTATAAATAAACAGATTTGCAGTAATTGTGCTTTTATGGCAATGTTGAACGTACCTTTTCGGGGTTCAGGTTTAGTTCTTTTTGTATTACAATACCTACAGTAGCAAAAGCTTCATTAATTTCATACAGATCCACTTGATCCAATGTCCAACCAGCTTTTTTAACCTACAGAAGATCAAGAAGCTCATTCAATTAGCACGGTTAAAAAATCATGGCTGAATTCTGTTAGAAAGTTCTATCCCCCCCAATATATATTTGTAATACTTAAGAGATAAAGGAGGTTCTGGTTACAACACAATGTTCATTTCTAATAAACAATTTGATGCTCAAATCAGTATTTAAGATATGGTGCTGAAATAAACTCTAATCTCAAATTTAAGCACACATACGGGATAAGCCCACAAATGCATACAATTCCAATGTCTCCCCTGATGCTGGACTCATGCCCTCCTATAGCTATGAAAAAATGCACAATTCAATTAACTCTTGAATGTTCAATCTTCACTAATGACCAATGCACTTGTTTTCTTTCCACAAAAGCATATGTGACCGTGCACAATTACACACACACACACACACACAAACACAATTTAATATCCAGAAAAAATACCTGGAAAAATTCAGTAACAGAGAGAGTTAATGAAACATTTATTAGTAAAGCTATCATAATTCATCAGGATTGGGACAGGTTATACATATTATGGTATGAATATGTTATGCTTAAATGAATTTAATTTTCAGAATTAACACATTAATTCAGTGAATGGACACTGATCCTACTTACAGCTTTTCTTATTGTCGTGGTGAGTACTATTGCCATCAATGAAGGATCAATAGCAGCTTGAGCTAAAGAGACGATCCGTGCCAAAGGAGTGAGATTTCGTTTAACTGCTTCTGATTTTTTCATAAGAATTACAGCAGCAGCCCCATCACTTATACCTGAAGAGAAAAACAAATATTAACTTTTTAGGTTGGATATATAGATGCTTTTTTTTTTTAAAGTTCATATTTAATTGAAGAGTAGATAGTACCAGAATCAAAAATTTTGCAATTGTAATTAATGATCAGTAGGCACCGTTTCTTCTCTCCCCCCCCCATTTTGAGGGAGATGGTCTTAGCATTAGGTATAATTTTGCATGTTTTTTTTAGTTAAATGTAGTTTCTACTTGCATTCTTCCTCTGCATTCTTCGTCTAAGACCTTAATCACAATACCACACTCCAATAATTCATGTTTCTTCCATTAAATTCAAACTATATTAATTGAATTAGAAAAATGTCCCCCCTTCACTCAAGTGAAATAAAGGTAGATTGCTAAAACCCGAATAGATGATTTGATGGCTTATTTTTAAATTGCTCAACAAACCAACCTGAGGCATTTGCTGCAGTCACAGTTCCTGTCCCATCGGTTATGAAGCAAGGTTTCAACTTTGCCACTGTTTCTATGTTGCACCCATGGCGAGGATGTTCATCTGCTTTAACTTCCATGGGATCTGTCAAAAACAAGTATTTCAGCAGCAGCCATTTTATACTTGGTGCAAAAAAGGAAAAAAGTGCAATTTTCCTAATAGAAATTCTACTTCTCATGCTTTTTTCCCTTACCGATGGTGTTTAACATCTGATAAACTGTCAAGATGCACAAGGGTGTGTCAAACATATGTTGGAAATGTAATCAGCCCGAAGGTACAGTTTTATTATCTTTGGTAGAAATATTAAAAAGGCTAAGAAATACTGGGATGAAATATGTATTCGTTGAATTCTTGGAATAAATGCACAATTGAAATCAGAGATTTTTTTTTAGGCTTGATAAACGCTTTGAAAAAAAATGGGTCTGTTTTTATTTATCAGCAAGACTTTTGTATGCACAGGGATGGAAGGATATACAGATACCTACAACGGAAGAACTAATGGTGAAATGGAGTTGGCGGAGATGGCAAAACACTTTGATCAAAGACAAGACTCTTATCTAGCTTTGTTTCTACTTGGAAACCACTTTTGGATTTTTTGCTTGAAATCAAGACAAATGAAACTTTGATTTTGGCATTTGACAATTAGAACCGTTCATGATTATAGAAGTACTGTGTGTTACTGTTAGTCTTAGAGTAAGAGGTTACAGTATGTTACATTTGTACCTCTACCAAAGAAAGTGCGAAGTCTGTTTTTCCTTTTCTGCACTCCTAACCTTATTCCCTTGACCTTTTCTTTTCTACTTCTTTATTTTTCTATTTTCTTACATTTTATTCGTTAACACTTTTAATAAACTTTTTTTAAATTTTTAAAAAAATGCACTGCCCTTCAATAAACAGTTGTAGAAGAGTCATCTGCAGTAGCATTTTATCCTGGAACTCTAATGTCCAGTTCACAAGCTATATACTATATGCTTCTTGTTATTAAAAATATTAATATTATACTTATTTTTCTCTTCGTATGACAATGACTATTAGCCAACTTTTCAGTGACTACAATTTTCTTAATTACTTGTATTCTAGTCTAGGAGTGATAAATTGAGCTCATGTATTAAACCATAGAGTGTCAAGTTACGAAACCTACTGTCTTTAGGATCACTGCATGCTTCTAGCTTGCCAACTGTGCGGGAGGGAAAGAGGGGAGAGTTTTTGAATCCACAGTGTTCCTTTATCAAGTGAGAGCGGAAACCGTTGAAGAGTTGTTTTGACAAACTAAAGTTTTTTGTTATAATAATTACTGGAAGATATATTGTACAATGTGACCTGAATTGTCAGAGAGAGGAGGGAAAGTTTCATTCTTTTAATTAACTGCTTCCCGCCATTTTCTCAGAGCTAGCTTTAATTCTTCTTTTTTTTATAATTTTTATTTTTCATTTTTCCAATTTACAAAACGATAAACATTTTTCTTTATTTTTTTAACAGTACTGTGTCATGTATCTCTTACAGTTATTTACATTTATTGCTATACATTTTTATTTCTCTGTTCTAACCAATGTATAGCAATAAATGTAAATAACTGTAAGACGTATCCCATACCTATCCCATACCTCATAAAATTCTGTTTCTTCCTTGCCTTTCATTTCCAGTGTAAGCTTATACATCTCGGCACAT